CCAGCCCCAGGAAAGTCCCTTTGTCACTCAAAGGTTGCTGCTTCTCCTCAGCGAAAGGGGTACCTAGTACAGCATTCAACTTGCAAAAGGACCACTTGCCAAAGGACCACTGAGAAGACTTGCCATTGGACTCCAGGTCGGTTAAGTGGGCGTCATCGTAATACATTGACACCAGACATCTAAGGAGTCTCCGGCCAAGGGCCTCAGCACAAAGCGGCTGTAGCGATTGAAGCTTGTCACTGCCAACGAACAAACTACTGTAGATCTGGAGCTGGTTCTTGCCATTCATCATGTCAGAAGACCACCACGCAGGCAAGCGCTTCCTCAAAGCTGATGGCTGAGTGCCGATATGTCTGGGGCCAATCTTCACCTGCACCAAGCCATCGATCCGAACGCTGGCAATGATTCCAAAGCTCATCCGGCATGGCCGCCGCAACGGCTGCAGTATGCTGGGCAGGCCTCAGTGGGGTACACAGCACCAACTTGTTCTGGTCCTCCAAAAGATCGCTCTGCCCGCCTCGAGCTGCATCATCAATGATACGCTGCTTGCCATTGGCCTGCGTGATCACGCATCTTGGGATCAGACGGAATCTCCGTCCTTTGAGCTCGGAGAGAAGCTTGGTCTTGCACATCGGCTGCGAACAAAAACTTTGGTCAGAATCTTTGCATGACTGCTCCAACATGAAGGCATCATCTTTGCTAGGCTTAAGGCATCTAAGGATGTCCGCATTGTTGGCCTCCGCCCCTTCGAGCACATCATCCAATGTCAAGAATTGCAAGGGCTGAAAAGCAGAGACAGGAGGATGCTTCCGCCTATATTGCAAATATTATATATATATAGTATATATGTAACAATGGGGACATATATATATACATATATATATATGTGTGTGTGTGGTTTTATGGCGGTCTAACCAACACATGGAGATTCTGGATGAGGCCCTGACCAGAATTCCAAATATGTTAACATCGAATCCCAAAAATTGGGTTCTGGAAGATCTGTTTGTGTGTGGCCAATTCTTGGGTTCCATGTGAATTTGAGGGGTGCAATGGTGATGTTCACCCATCAACAACTGCTTTCCCATTCGGAATCTGGTGTTTGAAAGAAGTAGAGATAGGAAATCTGGTTGGTGGCTGAGCAACACCCACATGAGACACTTCAAGAGCATCATATCTATATTTGCATTGCACACCATTCCAGTCAGTATGCAAGTCATACTGGCGTCCGTGGACCCCCTGTTGACCTTGACCATCCACTGGTTATATAGTTGGTGGGGACATTTCCACATCTTACGGATTACGAAATAACAAGTAAGGAGTTCAGGCGAGAACATATTGATGGTATTCGCTGGTACTTTCTGGGTGTATACGCAACTCGGGGTTCTTGGGGCTTGCGGACCAACTCCACCCGCGGCCAATGGCAGTCAAGGTCACACTCCTGCCTGACCCGTCTCGAAGCCATAGCGAGGTAAAACCTCCAGGTGTAAGCACTGCGTGAAGGCTCCATGCCACTATGATAAACCGTTGCATCAGCACATGCTCGACAGAAATCAGGAGACAAATCTGTGAGATTCATACAGGCATTCACCAGTTTAAGAAAGAAGCCATGCCTACGGCGAGGGACCAGGTCGCTCGTCCCAATCAGAATGATTCGGCATTCCAATGACTTCGGGGTGCGCCATCCGTGTCGAAGCTGTGACCTGCCCACAGTGCCTTGTTCTGCACCGTCAGGAATAGCTTCGTGTGGTCATCAGTGTAGTTCCGGTAGGCTTTGCCATGGATGGCCTCTAGTTCTGCTAAAGCCTGGCTGAAAATAGGCTCCGAACATCGTGGGGGCACCTTTAACATCCATGATTTGGCGTATCATACTACGGTAATCTACCTTAGCTATGGAAAATTGCCCATTTGTAGATGAATGTTCCGCTAAAATCTCCATTTATACATGAATTACCTATCCAAAATTGTGATTTTCCATAATTAGCCATGTCTACTTCAGCGTATATAAACCTTCGCTAAAAACAAGGGCAACGTCGGCCTCCTGAAACCCTGGGTCGGAGAAGCCATCATAGAGCTCTGCCTTCCGCGTGGTTTGTCAATGGATGGGATTTAAGGGAAAAATCACAACGACGTCATTTTTTCATGGGGACACCATGGGAAACTAGTTCAGATTTTCCCTTCAACCAATCCAGTGATTTTGTGGCGGAGAGTCGGGGAGAGGCCATATCTCCCATGGCTACCCATGGTATCACCTGCAGGTCCAGCACATCCTGGAGACTCAGGTCCGGAGCCGACATCTTCGCGCCGCAACGTGGAGCCAATACGCACACGTCGCCGTCGCTGTTGCCGAAGTGACTGGTGGTTTCAATTCTGACCAATATTTGACCATTTAAAAGCTAGTCAACTGAGACTATGATCCCGGGTGTGTGGATAGTTGAAGAGCAATTCCGATTAGCTGTGGTTTTGCAATGTTTTTTCTCGGTGGCAACAAATAGCAGGGAGCCCAAAGGAAGCTCGCAAGGGGGAGAATTGTTTTTCCACAAGTGCACGCTGCTTTTGCCGAGTTGATTCATAGCAAATCTCTCCCTGATCTGAATCGAAGAAAACTTAAATTGTAGGAACCACAGGCCCTATGCAGTTCCAGAAGTTTTGAAACCATGGTTTTCACCCAGAAGCTCGTTATCAACTGCACTTCAGAACAGGAAATCATCTTCAAGCGGACTCTCATCTTGCAATTCGATCTGGAGCCAAAAGGCACATCATAAACGTGTCCACTCTATTCCCCTCTTCAAGATATGAGAGCCAATTGATACCATCTCAAATGAAGGGGAGAATAGGAAATCAAACGCGAAGAATCATAGAGCATCATTGATCATCACGATGATGGCATGCGAATGTATGAAAATCTTCAGCTTTCCAGGGCCCGAGCAGCTGCAAGTCCCATGGCCCCCATGGACCTGCCTTGAATCTGAGAGCGGTTGCGATTCAATCCTTGGGGTGTTCACACGCCATGAGCCCCCCGGTGCTACACTGGGGCAGCTCCCCAGCCCAGTTGCCCAGTTCGCCAAGGGTCTCCCGCCGCGCCATGATGTGTGCACTTCGGTCGCAGCTGATCATCTCTTCTTCTTTGCGGCTGGAGACCTCCCTTCCCGGGCTGTTCGCAGGACGGATCAGTACCTGATCAAAGGATCATTCGAAAGAGCTGCAATGGCCTGCCTGGGGCCAGGTATGGCCGACCAGTCATTTACCAATTATGTGACGGGGCCAGTTGATATTTTATCCAACTTCAGAAACACGTGTGAACCTATCCTGCTTTTTGTTTTGGGATCTTTGCAGTGAGGGAAATTAAAGGACCGGAAAACCCCACAAATCAACTTCTTCCAATGAGCAGAAACAAAAGTTGAAGCGGGACGGGGAAGAAAGGAAAAACGAAGGAGGTGGTGGAGCATCGATAAGTTTAAAAAAAGTTGTATGTGAAGAGTTGTGTGTGATAAAGTTGTGTTTGAAAGATGCGCGTGACAAAATTATGTGTTTGTGTGTGAAAGATTGTGTGTGACCAAGTTGTGTGCGTGACCAAGTTTCAAAGCCGACGCACCCAAAGTGAAAGCGAGCATGCAGTTTGATGACAACTAGCTTCCCACTTGGCGCAGCCTGAGCACATTGCACATTGCTTTGTACTCGCGTCATCCCGCACCCCCGGCCAATGAGGTGACAGACGACATCACGTCGGTCTGCTGCTTGGCACAGGAACACATGCACAGTGACGCACGACTAAACGGTGCAAGGTCAAAGCTACCACTGCCGCAACCAAGATCGGAGAGCACCATGCTGCACTTTCGCTAAGAACCAGCGGCGCACAATTGAGGAATAGACAAAGACAAACAAGCGAGCAACAGCTGTTTCAAAGCCAACGCACCCAAAGTGAAAGCGAGCATCCACTTTGGTGACAACTAGCATCCCACTTGACGCAGCCGGAGCACATGGCACATTGCTCTCTTCTTTCACCCCCGGCCAACGAGGTGACAGACGACATCTCGTCGGTCTGCTTGGTACAGGAGCACACAGCAAAACATGATATGAACCTGATTTGACACAGGCACATGCGATTTGCAGCAGGTCGTATGATTTGATAGCCTTCCGCTGGACGTTGCATCGGCATGTTGCAGATTGCAGCTTGTTCAAAGTCGAAGCACCCAAAGTGAAACCGAGCTTGCAGTTTGGTGACAACCGGCCTCCTACAGCCGGATCACATGGCACATTGCTTAGCACTCACCGACACGACCTTCGCACAGTTGCGTCGGAAGTGATGGCGTGTACCCAGCAAGGCGCATTAGCCCATAGCCCTTGCTGTCATACTCGGTTGGGAACAGAGCGCGTTGGCCCCAAGCACACGTCATCCCGAGGTGACAGACGACAGCACGTCGGTCCACTTGGTACAGGAGCACACAGAAAAACATGATACGGACCAGAATTGACACAACAGGCACATGCGCCACCAGAGCCAGCCCAGTGCGATAAGCGCAACGCCTGCCACGCAAAACGAGAAAGTTGATGTGAGCAAGCGCCACGCCGGCCATGCCAAAGTGAAGGTGGGTGTCGCCAAGTGCCACGCTGCCACACAAATGCTACGTCCATGTCCCCAAGCGCCACGCCTGCCAGGCAAATGCTACGTCCACGTCGCCAAGTGCCACCACGCCTGCCACGCAAAGTGCCGCGGCGCCCCGGGTGACCAACGGGGACCGACCGCGCCACCAGAGCCAGCCCAGTGCGATAAGTGCCACGCCTGCCATGCAAAACGAGGGTTGATGTGAGCAAATGCCACGCCGGCCATGCCAAAGACAAGGTGGGTGACGCCAAGTGCCACGCCTGCCATGCAAAAACTACGTCCATGTCGCCAAGTGCCACGCCTGCCACGCTTGCCACGCAAATACACTGTCTATGTCGCCGAGTACCACGCCTGCCACGCAAAGTGCCGCGACGCCCCGGGCGACCAACAGGGACCAAGCGCGCCACCAGAGCCAGCCCAGTGCCATAAGTGCCACCCCGCCACGCAAAACGAAGGTCGATGTCGTGAAGTACCACGCCAAGTGCCAGTGTGTGACAAAGTTGTGTGGCCACGTGTGTGTGAAAGATGGTGTGTGACAAAGTTGTGTGTAACAAAGTTGTGTGTGAAAGATAGTGTGTGACAAAGTTGTGTGTGAGAAGATGGTGTGTGACAAAGTTTGGGTTGAAAGATGGCGTGTGACAATGTTGTGTGGAGGAGGCGGAGGCGGCGGAGGCGGCGGAGGCGGAGGCGGAGGAGCGGGATACAGAATCATAAACAAGAACCCCACACAAAGATTTGGGGAAATGACCATCAAGAACCATCACGAACCTGCGAAAAAGATTTGGAACCTGGACGAAGGAGTCAGTCGGAGTGTTAATCAGGATGGTGATGCCAGATCACATCTCAGAAGATCTCTGAAGGATCCAATCTTTAGAACTCACATTTAGAAGTGTTTTAGTCTCAACCGTGAGACTTTTCCTCAAGTCCCAGTCAAGGAAACTTCTGTGGCGCTCGAGGTTGGGAAGTTTGGAAGTGAAGCACCATGGCTTGATATGAACCTAACCCAGCAAAAACAGCTCCATGGAAATTGGTTGAAATCCTCAGCAGACCCATAGCTTTCCGCACACCTTCTGGTACTGATTGTCGAGCTCTTGCTTCACCTTCTTAGTGGCTACTGTCCTGCAGGCCATCCTTCTCTTTCTCCGGAAAATTGCGCTTTTTCGTTGATGGTAAAGCAACCGTCCCCCTACAAACCAAAACAAAGAAAGTTAAAAAAAAAGAACAAGATCAAAAAAAACACTGTATTACTGGGAGGCTTGTCAAATGTACCATGAACTCCATGAACCAGAGATGGTTGCTGCAGAGGCTAAAGGAATAGGCTGCAATCTGGGGTTTTGCTCGCAGAAAAGTTGCAATCCTGTGCGTGGCAAATGCGCATGTTGTATGTTCACCTGCCCAATCTTGGCGCGGGAAAATTGCCAAAAACTTCACCTACCTCAACAGCTTTGCCCGGAAATGGGATGTAGCTAGTAGTTTGTTCTTTTTATGGTGGAAACTGATGGCGTAATTAGATATTAGATGTCTATTAGATATTAGGTAGAGATCCTTACCATTGGATTTTTTTGGAACCCGATTCTCAAGCCCTTTCCATCAAAACAGCGTGGCGCGCCTAGCTTCCAGAGACTCCGACCTGCAGGGGAAGCATTGCAGAGATGGAGAGATTGACCAACCAAGACTAACCATATCAATGTATGAATGTATGCGTACACACACATACACCTATAATTATAGCCACACTATACATATATATAAATAAATATGCATACATTCATATATATATATATGTATGTATGTATGTATATATATACACAAATATGCATACATATACATAGACATAAACATATAAATATACTACATATGTACATGTAGATGTACATATACATATGCATATATGTGCACATATGTACACCCACATATATATATACATACATATACATAAATATATACATATACATATACATACATAGAGTGCACATATGTACACCCACATATATATATACATACATATACATAAATATATACATATACATATACATACATAGATATACATACATACATACATACATACTTACATTACATTACATTACATTACATACATTGCATACATACATTGCATACATACATTGCATACATACATTGCATACATACATTACATACATACATTACATACATACATTACATTACATACATACAATACATACATACATACATACATACATACATACATACATTACATACATACATTACATACATTACATACATACCATACATACATACATACATTAATTACATACATTACAACATACAGAATTACATACATACATTAATTACATACATACATTACTTACAGAAATACATATATTGTACATACATACAGTTAATTACATACATACATAATAAATACATACATACATTACATTACAGTAAATTACATCATTACATACATTACATACATTACATTACATACATTACATACATTACATACATTACATACATTACATACATTACATACATACTACATACATAACATACATAACATACATACATAACATACATAACATACATAACATACATAACATACATAACATACATAACATACATAACATACATAACATACATACCACCACACTACCATACATACCATACATACCATACATACCATACATACCATACATACCATACATACATACATACATACATACATACATAACATACATACATACATACATACATACATACATACATACATACATACATACAGACACACACACATACATACATACATACATACATGACAGACAGACATACATACCATAACATAACGTAACATAACATAACATAACAATACAATACAATACAATACATAGATATATAGATTTTTATATATATATATATGTTGGGAGACGGATAGAAATAGACATAGAGATATAGAGATTGATATCTAGAAATAAGATAGATCTTGGATACTGGATAGTGGATATCAGATATTGGATTTTGAACACTAGATATTTGACATAGAAAAAGATGTAGATATGCATGCAGATAAAGCTGTATACATCATATGCAAAAAGCCGGACATCAGCCGATATCAAGAGCATCCAAGGTTGGGCCTGGCTCCCATGGCACCCACCAGTAGACTGACGGTTTTGTTCCCTTTAAATGCTCGCTGCAAGGCTTGCGCATCGGCATAACCTGGCTGCGAGGTTCCCATATATAAGGCCTATGTAAGGGCTATGTAAGGGGAAATCTCCACAAAATATGGCCTTTTATATATTAATATATATATATAAGCTATCTATCCGTTTATTTTATTTATTTACTTAGTGTGTGTGTGTGAAACCCGTTATAACATACGGATATTTTACAATTTCGTACAACGAAGCAAGGAAGACAATATGTGGCGACAATAAGAACTGAATTTTAATTCAGACATGCAGGGGGCTGGAGTGTGAATCAGAAGTCTCCAGCCAACGAAGACGCTTCTGATGTCACAGTGATATCAACCTGGGACGCTGGGTTGACGTACCTGCAATGTTGGTTCGAACTTTTGCACAAGCTGTTCTATTACTTTGTTTTTGAGTCATTTGGCAAGAATCGATTGCCCGAATCTCACCGTTTGCAACCGTGCCCCATCGAAGGTGACTTAGGAAATCAGGCGACGGCAAGTTCTACTCTCATCATCATCAAATCAACCTAAGCAGTGTGTTTGGGTGAACTCACTGACTTGTGAGCACCGTCGATCTGCTTCGTGCGGGTCTAGATCTGGTCACCGGCCGCTCCGGTGGATAGTGGAATGTCCAATTGGGACAATCCGGATTCGACGTGGTTGTTATGTCAATCACAGGATTACTCCATTTCAGGAGCGAATTATGACAATTTGTCATACTTCAACGGATTAGTCCCAACGATGGACGGATTAGTCCCTTCGAAGGACCAGGATTAATCCCTATAGGGATGGATTAACCCTTCGGGGGGTCTCACCTGTTGTCTTACCCAGGTCCGATCCTTACAGAATCACAGTTTGCAGTTCAAAAAACGTTCTGATTCTTTCACAATTCCGTTTTCAGTTGTTAAAATTTTCTCGCTGTTTGACATTTTTGTGACCTTTATATGTTTGCTTTTGAATGTCATGAACAATGTACCCAATATGTTGGCTCTGAAGCGACAGTTGCTGCAAGATGTCATTGTTTTAAAACCAACATCCTTCAATGTTACAGGTGGTTGTTGTCTGCTTCAATTTTATTGTTTTTCTTTTTTCTCTTTTGCCTTCGTTTTCATATATGGACATTATCAACATTACCATGATACCGACCGGCGTAGTTCCGAAGTCCATGGGTCCCCCACCTCGTGATCCAATTCCTACTTGGGCCACACCAGCTAGCAGACGTACCACTGAAGATGTCAGTTTTCATTATCGGGGATTCACTGGCGAGTTTGAATTCAGAGTACCTCGCGGAGAGGCATCACTCATGGCACAACGTGTTATTCAGAATGATCAGGCTATTCAGATGCACAGTCTACAGGTTCAGGAACATCAATGCCAATTGGGAATACTTCAAGCTCAAAATCAATTTCATCAGCTTGGGATTATCTCTCAATTTGCCAATTTGACGCATGCAGGAAATCAAAAAGGTTGGATACCTGGCTTACATTTGACCTTTCCCAATTCTTCGGGACAAATCGCGACATCAGTTACACCTGCTCTGACTGATCGGGTAACGACCTCAGAACGGCCATCGAAACGATTTCGCAGTGAAAATGTATTGGAACCTCCAAGATCGGAACGTGGTCCGGATCCCCTGGACAAGTCTGGTACGATTCCATCTCAGCTCGGCACTTTCGTACATCAGTGGGGAACTCAGAACTTCCAAAGCGATGTCGCTCCTGAAGTTTCTGCAGAGACTCAAACAAAATCAGTATGTTTCAAAATTGGACGACAACCAGAAAAGTTTATCTCTTCCAGTGTACTACAGATTATGGAATTTAAGCATCCACAATTGGAACACCTCGGACACCATTTGTGGGTGTCGCATCCACTGGCACGTTTTTCGTCCAATCAATTTGATGCAATACGACATGGAACATTGAAGGAGTTGGATTGGTGTGGACTGTACAGCACTGTATTGCGTTTACACTCAGATTTATACCAAAATCCACATCGAATTGCTGGAGGATTTGAGATGGGCAGACTTATTGAAGAACCACGTCAACAAAAATGGATTCCAGACATGCATCATTTTTGTCGAGCCAACGGCTATCAAACCTTCGATGAAGCCAAACGAATGAGTGGTTTTTGGTATGAATATGTCATACATGATTTGCGCACATGCTTTCCATCAGCCTTCATGAACTCACGAGCTGCTCATGTGGAGGAAGGAATCCAAATTTTGATTGCATCCTTGATGCAATATCCAGCCAACTCTATTTTGATAGAGGAATTTCAGATATTGATGTCTTCCACACAGACACCCTTGGCCATCCTAGCATCAGTGCAACCACCATATTTTCGAAGCACTCCCAAAGTCCAATTCAATCATCGTTTCCTTTTTGGCCATAACACTCAGGCTTTAGCTCTGTGTGACATTGTTCGGGAAGGATTTATTCGTCCTTCTAGTTGTGATCCCGCTGACAAATCATGGTTGCCACCTACTTCCTTTTATTGCCGAGCAGTCGTACCTAACCATGATGATTTTCACAAAAGTGATATGGAACGTTTGGTCAAGATGTGCGGAAAGTACGGCGGCGCCCTCAGTGATCGCCCTGTATGTATTCTTGGAGAAGCATTTTCAAGGCAGGAACATATTCGTACACCACAGGGTGGAGTTATGGCTGACCATATGATCACTATGGTAGCTGACTCAGCACATGGAGCGGACCAACGGTGGGCTTTCCGATCCCATCTTTCGAAGATCAAGTACGTCGCGGTGATCCTACATGAGAGCAAATTAAAATGATTAATCCATGGAGTATACATCTCCAGAAATCATGTCTTGGAGTCTTTATTTGGAGTATAAAAACAGTGCTGACTCAGATTTTTCGATTGTTAGCTTCGCGTGTGTGCATCGTTTTTCTGCCGTGTTCTTGTCCCCTTTTCTTTTTGCTTGTCCCCTTTTCCTTTTGCTTGCCTCCT